GATCTAAATCCCCACTTCATTTGTCCCTTTGATAAGGTGTAACTCTGTGCTGACGATATGGCGAAACGTTAGGAAATGTACCAAGTCAATAGTTCGATGCTAGAAATCACGAATATTATGGCAGAAGACATAGGACTCAGTATGTCCCGCAAAGTCTCCCTTACGCTCTGATCAAGTTGCAAAAACGAAGTCGAATCAACTCTAAAGAAGAATGCGACCAGAGGGCCACACGATCTCCGTTTTATTGTCTATACCACATTAAAGTCGATAAAAAGGGCACTTTTCTTGAGAAGTGGTATATAAACGAATAAAAGGTTGTGATAGTCCGATAATGTGATAAAGGGGTAGGGAGTGAGTAGATAGGCAAGGACACAAAGAAGAGTGATAGCACAACCGTTCAACAGAAAGTAGGTAAGATCATTGACTTCACGTGTCTCTTTTGACGAATCGTAGATTGGTGCTGACGTTGCCTGCGAAACGTCTGGGAATGTATTAAGTCCACGTTCCAATCTTGGGAATTATCATAACTGTTACAGATGCGAAGAAAAACTGGGTTTCGATGAATCTCCTGAGATAACATTGTTGGGGGGACTTTCATTTCGTATGAAAGTGCATAAAAATGAGATCGACCTACGAATCTCTTCTTCATGCATTTTAATACGAAATGAAAATCCCCCCAACCATGTTACAGATGACTTGGGACAAGGTGCGTCTAACTAGGTCGCCTTGACAAAACGGTTAAGTAGCGAAAACAAGACCAGACCACTTTAATATTACTATGCTACATATGCCTAAATTGATACACCTGCTCCATACAACTACTTTATATCCCATCCTATTCCTCTATCGTCTATTTTTTTATCCTATCCAAGGCTTCCGCAAAGGTTGCTAGGAGCTAAGCCACAAAGTAGATAAATATTTTTTAATAAAGAAATAATACAATTTTGAGCGCCATAAGGGATAGATGTTAATGCTATTATAGACAAAGTAACCAATAAGGTCCACCAAGTGACTCGAAATTTCTACATACATTCTAGAAGGCAAACACTCTGGCTCGTCTGAACCTAGAAGACATGGGGCTAAAAGTCCAAGCGTACGAACGCATTTGTATTACTTTTTCTTAGGGCATGAGTTCAGGGCGAATATATGGGGTTCCCTATCGGTTACAAAGAATAGTATCGATTCAAAAGTTTCTAGGGGCGGTAAAATTGAAAACAAAAGTCTAGCTCTGGCAGTTAGGACCCATATTTAATAAGTATCTCTCATTGGACTGGATTAACAGCCATAATGGGATTCACAGGGTAGATTGTGAGGTGAAGCTAATGAATGAGGGAGAAATGAAAGAGAGTAGGGAAAGTAGGGAGCTGACATTGATAGAATAACCGTTCCCATTCAGGCCAAAGGGAAGATTTTTCGGAGAACGATAGAGCATTCTTGAGTACATATGTGTAGTTACTGCGCAATAAAGATCCTTTAGAAAAATTATGCATATTGCTTATTTAATCTGCAGCCAAAGAAAGCAAAATAAATTTATCGAACGGTGGACTAAATCTCAGTTCCTATGGTAGCAATAAGACCAAAATCTGGATGGGCTGCTTTCAGTAACCAAAGTATCTAATTTTTTGTGAAACTCAGATCCCTTAACGTGAAGTTAAATCGGCCTAATGGTTTACTAAAAAAAAAGCCAATTAATTATATCAGTCAAATACATGTTTTACTGAGTTAGGTAAGAAAGGGAATCGCGATTATAAGACTGGCAATCAGAAGAGAGCATTATAAGCCTAGAAATTGAGGTCATAAAGCTCTACTTCGATCCTATAAATATGTGCCCGTTGTCATTGGGCTTTATTCGGGTCAGAGCAAGTTTTATCATCAGATGATTTTGCGCCCAAAGAACTGTGGCCTTTGTGCGATTCGATCACGGATTACAAGTATAAGTAAAAAATAAACTAAAACGAGATAAGCTAAATTACAAATAAATTAATAATGAATAAAAATTAATAAAATTGAATAAACTAAATAAAATAGCCCTATTATGCTCTATAGATGTCCGGATATTTGAACCGTAATTTCTGGCCACATGCAAATGATAAAATAGCCACGAATCCCTGGATAAATCGGTAACCTCACTTGATTACAGCCCCCAAAGCAATTCGTTCGGCAAAATAAGAGGTGTAGAGGCGATTCCGCCGAACTATTACGGGTGATAGATATAGGGACATATGGGATTTATTTCGAGAAGAAAAGGAATGTGTAGCATAAGCATAATGAAAAAAGGTATGAAGACTAAAATGGTGTGGCCTTTTATGTGATCGCAGTCTCCTTTCGTTGTATAGAAGTTGTTGGCCTTTTGTGTGGTCGCAGTCAAACAACTTCTATTATTAAAAACGGCTTGCTTGGATGGAGTTGGCAGGAACTCATGAGACGCAGATGAAGGCAAATGGGAGTTGTGAGCAAAAATCAGCACATTAGCGCCTAGTAGCATAATTTTTATTGTCAAACGAGGCGCTAAGTTCGCGAAAAAGTGAGATGTCAAAAAATCGTCCGAAGTAGGTTTGGAGTCAATCACCACACTGGAGCAAGAAGCGCATGCAGACAGTCCAAAGCCATAATAGACACTTGTTTACATGTGGGCCTGTCCAGGCAAAATAACTTTTCACCTCGGCAACAGTAGTTTGACATTGTGCTTGATCAGTTGCGGGACAGTGACGGAGTGCAAGTCTGCTCAAGCCTTGACTCATTTCAAGCAGATTCTGGAGATGAAGACATGTGCTTACTGGGACAGGTGAATCTTTGTCGATGTGCTTGCGGACACAGAGCATGAAAGGCTGGCATAAAATGCGAAGTAAATGAAGATTCCAAGACCAAATGATCGATTTGAAGCCTTCGAGCTGGCTAATCATTGGAGCACGAGTCGATGGTGGTATAATTGTCCGCAGGCCGAGTAAAATAACCCCGACGGCTATGCAGATCAAAGGTCTCAAGAGCAGAAACGAGACAATAGAGGTAAAATTGGACGATACCGAAATTTGCTAGAAAGTGCACTATGACCTACATAAGTCGTGATGCAAACGAAGTTAAAATAAACTGAAGAGGAGTATCACGACACATATATACATCGGAGCATAAAAGCTTTTAGAAAATGACTGCTCACAATTTGCAGTCCCAAATGTGGTAGTGCTGGACAAGCACAAAGCATGTCTTAGGTCTGTGATTCCTAAACTGTGCGCCGCGAAATATTGTAAAAGCTTCAATTTGAGAAAATGTACAGTGATCTGCAGGCTCATCCATCGCATTAATTATTTAATATTAATTTAAGGTTAATAAAGTACAAAAAATAATGAAGATACACGAGTTTTATTTATTTTCATCTCTTACATACGAATAGTCA